AAGTCTTATTTGATTCCAACTTTGCTCTACGGTTGCGAACTCTATCCAAATTGTGACAGTGTTTGTAAAAAAAAACTTAATGTTGTGTACAATAATATTGCACGTTATATTTACGACATCAACCGTTTTGAACACATTTCCGAATATGCTTTGAAGGTATGCAGTTTGATAGCCAATTAAATTTCAGGGCAATGATGTGCAAGTTTAAATGGGCTAAATAATCGCGTTGATTTTTAATAATTTTTTTTCCTTGTAGACATTTGGTTAGGGGCTCCGTTGACGAAAATGCTAAATTACGTTCTGCTAAGAAGGAGCATAGCAATAGGTCCATTCAATATCAAAAAATTGTTACGAATTGTTGCTAGTACTTGCAAGTTTTTACTGGGAATGCAATCAATAACCCAAAATATTTGCAAGAGGGAGCGAATTCGAGAGAGTAACAAACCGAGAGAGCTGCAAAGTCTTGCAAGTAAAAATTTTACTAGCAGGAATTTGTAGGAGTCAAAAAGTAAGGTTATGTTTCAAATTCAAATGTAAACAAACTGTTTAAGAGAATGATTTGATGAAACATAATTAGTGAAATGAAAATATGGATGAAAAATTTAAATCTATTGTATATTTTTTTATTTTTATGATGATGGGAACTATTCCCAATTAAAAAGAAAATCGCGCGCCAAAACTTAACCGTCAGAAAGTGTAAAAATGGCTTAAGATGCAAGTTTTTACTAGTTTTGCGTTCAATAACGTTTTTTTGAAAACTTTCTCTTGCTCTCAATTTAACTCTCTATTTTTCTTTTACGCTTTCGCTGCAAGTACTTACTGGAAAAGTTATTGAATGAACCTAATATTTCAGTCTTTTTTGTGTTCATTTCATTTTCAATGAAGTCTTAAAAAAGTGGCCTACTTTTTTCTGACGTTTTATGCTGCACAGCTTTTTTGATGCTTTTGCGAGCGTGCCTGCTGCAATAGATCGGCTCTTCCTGAATTGGCTTTTAATGTGCAATTGCACCCATTACAGCAAGCCTCGTAACCTCAAGTGTTTACACAACCAGCCTTTGAACACGGGATCCTTAGTCCAAGAATCCAGAAAAAAATATTTTGAAGCAGCTGCAGCAAAACACCAACATTGTAAAGATTTATTAAGAAAATAATTCAAAATCAGTTCTACTTATAAGATTTAGTAACAAAGAAAAATTACTGGGAAGTTAAAAAACGTCATTTTTTACACAAAGAACGTCCAAACGTCAACAGGGTACAAAAAACGTCCAAATGACGTTAAAAACGTCAACCTGGCAACGCTGACCACACCCCTTATTTTTCCAACACCAATTTGGCAAGAGGTCCCTGCGTTTCTATAAGCCGCATGGGCATGCGTATATTTTTTAATCTTTAAAAAAAAATTGTAAATGCTATAGTCACTTTTTTAAAGGTAGAAAAGGCAAAAAAAAGGCAAAAAAAGGCAAATATGTTAAAAAAGGCAACATCAGATGTGTATATATGGAATCAGGGAAAGCTAAATCGTGGACATTCTTAATCGAAAATACTCTCTCTTTAGCAGAAAAAAATTCAATTTCCATAAAATCCGTTCCCTGGTAATTAGTATAGCGATGAAAATATACATTTTTTCGTGGAATGCTCGATTTATGTAAGCACACTAATTTTTAAAATTGTATGCCCCTAACAATATTTTTACTTAAGCTGAGTTTATACACATTTCTGGTGTTAAAATATAATATAGTAATTAAAAATAAATAAATATAGGCAGATATGAAAATAGGGATTGCGAGAAAGAGCCCCTTATATAAGCAAATGATATATACCATAGGCTACGTCCGGCAGACATGGACTTTGCTTGATCGGTCACAGAGTGGTGTTGTTTACAAATTTTCATCAAGAATCAGTTCAGCTATATAATAAAATTTCAAACAACGCCCTACTGTAACTTGTGAAAAGTTTGTTTGGCCGATCACGGAATGGTGTTGTCTAGAAATTTTTATAGAGAATAAGTTCAGCCCAATAAAAAATATACAAACAACGTCATCCTGTAAGTATCGAAACCATATCTGTTCAAATTTATCAATCGCGTGATTTAGCCTTGATTCAAAGAGAACATTTAAAGCACACTTGCATGTTTTAACTGTAGCTGAGTGGGCAGAGCTGCTTTCAACTAACATTTGGGAGGGTCGGGATTCGAATGCGATAAGACAGAACATATAATATTTGATTTTTTTCCGTAAAGTGCAGAACGAAATCAAGTTCCAGCGAAAAAATCTCCAAAATTAAATCGGTTTAAAGTAAACAAAAAGTCGTTTGGCGCCAAATCATAGGTGGTTTAGCTTGAAACAAAGAGGATATGGTTTATTTTTCCCTCAGTATAGGTGATCGTTCAATGTACGTTTTTGATTTTTCATATGTATTTGGGTTCCAGATAAGTCTATAGCCCTGCTCGCGTACGCACTATCCAGTAAAATCCAGTACTAATTTTACTAGTTTTTACTGGAAGGCGTTTTCGTACACAAAAACATGCAAGAAACCAGCAAAAGAGAGAGAATTGAGAGAGAAAAAATAGCAGCTGAACTTACAAGTTTTACTGGATTTTTACTGGATAATTTTTTACTAGTAACTATTTGCTAGTAAGAAAAACAGGTGATGGCATAATGCTTAATGCAATTCACATTACCAAAAGAATTTTTTGTTGTGCTTTTAGAGTTGCATTTGACCAAATAAACCTATTTAAATATATATCAAGATGATGGGAAATACTATTTCTCTTAGAAAATTGAATCGGAAAATAACAAATCAAACAGCTGTTCATAAAACTTGCAACTTCTTGCTGGTTTTGCGTTTTCGTACTTTCTTGCATATTTCATTAGGAGTAAATCTGTGTTCGTTTGGAAAAGAAGCTTATGTCGAAAGGCTGGCTTTAGTATAATACGGCATTCCCTTAATTCTTTAAACAACAAGGAATTTTTGGGTGAGACTTAACAAGAATATTGACTTGCTAGTATCGGAACTATTTCTTGCACGTTTATTTGCCAAAAGTGTTTCAACGGCTCAGCGCCAGTGAGTCATTCGCTAATCGTATGCTGCGAATGCCGATTTATACTAAGGCCAGCCTTTCGACATAAGCTACTTTTCCATATGAACACAGAAATATTGGCTTACTCTCCGAAATTTGGTTACTGGCCAGTTACCGGATATTTTTGCTGGGGAATACGAAAACACAACTTTAAGTTAAAAGTGATATTGATTTCGTATTTGTAAGGTGCTTACAAGCCATTATCAAGCTTTCGCTGTCATTGAGTTCCGAATTGCAGAAGATCAATTTGGATAAAGTAAAATCTATAAGCATAGCCACAGATTTATGCAATGAACTTCGGAGAATACGTTCCGAAATAACTGAACAGTGAACCCTGGATTTGGCGCCGTCTTCTCTGCTTCGATCTAATACCCCCGGGGTAATTTATTTCGCCTACTTAGTGATTTCCCTGAAAGAACGGGTGCACCGCCATTCTTATATCTTTTTCTCCGGGAGATTTTTCCCCCCTCCAGGCCACATAGCACCCCTTTGGCCCACTCGAGCGTTTTTGCATGTTTCTCAGATAGTGGAGAAACATCTTGACCGTTTGGACATTCCAGAATGCTGTTTGCGGATAGCCTTCGAGGACCAAACCGGAAAACTGGGTGAGGAGCCCGCGCTATTGTTGGAAATTTCATCAGGAACCCTCCTTAACCGGTCCGGATTGCTCGCTCAACCCTGTCCCTCGCTTAGAGACTCCCACGGGGGCCGGTTCCGGCACTCTTGCCCTCGCGTTGGTGACAGAACCTGTCTCTCAGAAACGTTTACGTGCATCGGCTCCGACGCGCCCTTTTCTCCGAAAGACTGTCGGTTTTGATTCCCCGTCACCGCTCTAAAGCTTTTTCTTTTTATTTTCATTTTTTATTTTTTTCATTGAGTCCCTACTCAGAGCCGCTATACAAAACCCTAGCGTGTAGTTGGCTTTAAAGTTATCGCATAGCTACCTCTGAACAAGACGATATGGCGAGGGTTGAGATATGCTCTTATGGGGCCATGAGCTCAGAGCCGACCAGAGCAAAGCGCGAGTTGTCTCAACCGCATACTTAACGGTGCCGGGAATCAGAATGTACTCTGAGTCCTGCCAGGGTTTTATCGGGACATGAGCAGTTGCAGCTTTAGCCCACCAGAGATTTTTGCTGAGTGTCACCTCAGCATACTCAGGTGATAGAATACCACAACCCTCTGCTCAGGGATCGATAAGTTCAAACGTTTCCAGAATCATAGTCAGAGGACGAAGCCGTTCAGGTTTAGAGGCCGTAGTAGATTTAGTTTGCGAATTTTTAGTCCTGACTGAGTAATTTATATCCCCCATGGCCCAGTGATATCTACGCCACTGTACCTGTCAGACAGAAGTCACAACTATAAGTTATTACCGTTTTACTCAATTGGATTTTGATGAGCTTGTGTTCGATATGTTGACGAGTTGTTTTACCTGTTCAAAATGACTGACCTTACTTAGATTAGCAAATTCTAGGAAACCGTTCTTCAATCTTCCTGGCACAAGTGGAAATACATAGATGTAGTTTATAAAAAAATCTATATCCGATTAGAAATGGTGTCGTACGTATTTAATAAAAATTAACTCTGTAATTTGCATCCACCTATAGGTGATTTTTATTAGTAAATATTATGTTCTGATTAGTTCGGCGAATTGATGAAGGTTAAAATATTGATTGCGCATTAGATTTTACATACAATGGTGATCTTCGCGTGATCTTATTGCGCGCCGGTTGGCGTTATATTTATATACATATATGTATGTACATATGTATAAGCCGGCGAAATGCAAATTGGCAGAACAGCTACTTGTTATTTGTTTATGTTTTGTTTTGTTTTTAATCGTCACGCCCGTGTTGACAATCAACGCTGTCTGGAGTGCGTTCACATATGTACATAATAATGTACATATATATTTACACACATGGATACTGTATGCATATACCTGTACATTATGGTGCAAAGATTCGTTTTATACAAAGGCTGGATTTAATCAATAATTGCATATGAAAGCATTTGTGTATACACGTAAATACATACATACTTACATATGGGGCTATCACCACGCTTCTACGGGATCGTCAATTTGTCGGGTCAAGTTTATTGCGTCAGCTACTTTTGAGAGCCTGGTATCTGCACAGTATAAATATCGGCACCAACTGTTGTTTCAGACATTGCAGTTTCAGTATTTGCAACATGAAGTTCTACGCTCTCTTTGGATTCGTCCTGGCTTTATTGGCTATGGCTTTCGGTGAGTTTGATTGACGAGTTGAAAGAGCTCAACAATTACTCTGATCCAAATATCTACTGACAGTCACACTTGGAATCAAAATAATTAATTAAATTTACGTTTGTTCTTTACAGCCAATCCCAACCCTAATCCTGAGCCTCTGCCCGGCGGTGGTGGCGGCGGTGGCGGTGGTGGTGGCCTGAACCTTGAACTTGGCGGAGGTGGCGGTGGTGGCGGTGGCGGCGGCAAGTAAACAAACTGCCAACGCATTGCTTAGCTTAAATAATTGGTAATTGGCTATACCAGTTTGGTCCACGGATTTTGAACAAATTACTTTAATAAACCTAATTTGAATACTGAAAAAATGAGTTTTGCTTGTTTTTGCTTTTTAAGTTCTGAACAATTAGCAAGTTAATTGTAACCTGAAAATCAATATATGTATATAGTATAGGTACATACGTAAATACTAATTTATGGGGCTCATAGACATCTACACCATTTAGCATATCAGGTATATGTATGTATGAAAATGAAAACTAAGATGTTATCATCCATGACACCAGAAAGCTCCTGCCGAAAGGACATCAACTCATGTAGATTTTAATTTCATTGATTCTAACCGATTAGCGTCTACTAATATCGAGAGCTGCTGTTCGGAGGAACCTCCTACGAAAGACTTCTTCTCATTCATGGCTGATAGGAACTTGCATGCCTACAGAACCAAAATCCCCCTACACAGAGCAGGAGCAGACCACACCTGGCCTTGCTGTGGTTCACACTTTATTTTTTTTTTAGGATACTCTAGAATAACTTGCTTAGCCTTCCTCAAATGTTTTGCTACCACTCAAGCCGGATACGAAAGAATTAACAAAAAACCAAAAGGGGATTTAGATACTTCACCACTTTTGAGAGAATAATTTTGGAGCCTAGGGTTTTCTTTGAATTTTTACGAATTTCAGAGTTATCAAAGATGTAATCAATAATAGGCTATCAATCCACAATCCATCCAGCAAACGCTTGCAATCATTTATGTGGACGTCAATGCTCCCGCAGTCTGTGTTATAAAGTCGTTATTGTCTCTGTAAGCACATTATTATAAAAAATCAATATATGTACCAAGAATGGCACTACCCAATTCCTGGTTTTATAAGAAGATTTATAAGTTTTGGTATTTATGTTTTGACGTATCAGAGTTGCCAACTGTTTCTAAAGGAATCGAAGAGAGACTAACTTAACTAACGTTAAAGTAATTTAATCTTAAATGTGTAGGTGCAATATGCGAATTTGTCACATTCCTAAAGGAAGCCTAATCCAATGCGAATTTATTTAGTTAGTATGAGCCAGCGTCAAATCCTAATGCAAGATATGGCCTTTGTTTACTAAATTCACTTATTGATTTACATGAAAACTTAGAGGACGTAATCTGTCAAATAGAATCTAGCAGCCTCAAGTAATTATAAACTTCAGCTTTTATGATTCATCTGTCGAGCCATCTAATTAATTTACTATTTACAGGTTTATAAGGTTACCGTCAAAATTGTAAAAACTTTCGCATCCTGTTCCCTCTTATAACCTGTAAAATTTGCTTGTTTTTTTTTAGATTTTTATGTGTCATTTACTTCCATATAACGAATAAACACACTTTATTTTTATATGGAAGAAAACAGTAACATCTTCGATAAAAAAAAATCTGAAACTTGTGCTTTGTTCTATTGGAATTCAATGGGCTACAAAACTGCATACCCAGAATCTTTCCAGGAAATCTTATTAAAAATCTCGATATTTTTACGAAAGTTTGTTAATTTATTTTAATATTGAACAAAGTTTGTAATATGGATTTACACGAGTTTTGTTAAAATATGTATATTGCTATAAAAAGTAACTAATATTAAATAATAAAAAAAAATAATATGTTAAACATGTCGACCACTGTATGTACAAGCGCAGGTGCCAGAAAGAAAAGGTATATCGTCGTTGATAGTATAAAACCGCGTATCAAGGTAACTCAAAACCGCATGTATGAGGTGAAATTTTACGAGAGGGAGCAAAGAAATGTACGCAGTTGATAAGGAGTTCAGGCATTCCCAGACCAAATTCGACCGCACCGTCATAGCATTGAGGACCTAATAGCCGCCGAGCTATCAGAGTATACACTAACCTCCCTAACTGACGTCACAGTGTTCAGTGCGTCTACCGCCTACGCGATGACAGGAATTACCGTTTGAAAGTCACTGCAGAGGTCCGGTAGAATGAATAGTTTAGATGATAAGCTTACGGCAAAATACATGCCCACCAACCCTACCTACAACTTTTCATTACTCCGAGAAGAAGTTTATTGCCCTCTACTCCAGTCACCCCGCTTCACCCAGCCCTCTCTTGAGGGAATGGAGGTAGAGAAGGAGCTACTTGGAGCAATCTGTATGGTCGTAGTGATTTTTTAGCGATTAAATGTGTTTTCTGCAGCGATTTTAATTAAAAATTTTGGTTTATTACATATTTATGATATAAAATGAAGTGCTGTGTGATTGAAACAAGTTTGTGCGTATGTTTGGTTTGCCAAAAAGCGTAAACTTGCGTGAACAGTGGGTGCACGTTTGTGACCAGAACGTTGGCATTGAAAAATCGACCCGTGGTAATGATATGCGATTGTAAAACACTTTCAATCATGAAAACCATATTTTATGAACTTTGTTTGCTAATTGTCATCAAGTTTCACTTTGTATATTTTGTAATAAATAAATACCAGCTTAATCGCACTCAATCACCGCGCTTTTTTCGTTTTCTTTGTTTGTTTTCATTCTTAGGCAGATGTCAAAACCGCTCAGAAATATACTTTTTTCTTGCTTCTTTGATTAGGTGATCTTGTATTTTTGGTTCATGGGTACTTAGTATAAAAATTAATTACATTCTCCAATTGAATTGGTACATTTGTTCTTGCTGCTCAAGCAAAGAATCACCGTTATTTTTTATACCTTGCTTTGTATATAATATTTCTGCAACTATATCAGTGCTCAATCTGGTTCTCAAGTCAGTCCTACACATTTTTAAACTACTAAATATACGTTCTACTAAAGAATTAGAAAAGGGCTATATTAGTAATGCAGATATTTTTTTATAATTGGGAAACTTATATGAACCTGAGGAATCTTTTAATTTAAAAAGTTTTTTCCTATAATTTTCTGAATCTAATGACGAATCAATATGAATATTCTTATGATCAAACAATGCGTGTTCTCTACATTCGATGCCGAGATTTTGCAAGTTCAAAATATGTTGAAAATATAACGATTGACTTTCTGGTCGCCATGTTTACTTCTTCTTCTTCTTATTTGGCACTACAACCGTTTGTCGGTTTGGGCCGAGACCAAAAAGCTTCTCCAATTGCGAAGGATCTTTTCACCGGAGAGTCGTCATCCATGCGTACAACATGTCCAAGCCAACGCAATCGCTGTATTTTTATGCGCTTAACTATGTCCATGTCGTTAAAAAGCTCATACAGTTCGTCATTCCATCTTCTCCGATATCCGCCATCCACGAAAACAGGGACGTAGATTTTGCGTAGAATAGTTCTCTCGAAAGCCCCCCAAAGCCTTCTCATCTTTGTTCGACCAAGATTCTGCGCCATATAAAAGGGCGGGCATGATGTGAGATTTGTAGAGCGTGAGTTTCGTTCGTCGAGAGAGGGCTCTGCTTTTCAATTGCCTACCGAGCCCAAAGTAGCACCTGTTGGCAAGAGTTATTCTTCGCTTGATCTCCAGGCTGACGTTGTTGGTGGTGTTTATGCTGGATCCTAGGTAGACAAAGTCCTTCACTACTTCAAAGTTATACCGCCAACAGTGACGTGTGTCCCGTAATGCGTGGACTCTTTATATGTTGCCAGGAGGTACTTTGTCTTTCCCTCGTTCACCGCTAGACCGACCTCTTTAGCTTCTTTTTCTAAACTGGAAAATGCTGCGGTTACGTCCCTTTGTTTCAGACCTACGATATCGATATAATCTGCATACGCCAGCATCATCGTTTTTTTGCTATATATGGTGCCGCTGCGATTCAGATTGGCAGCTCTTATTACGCTTTCCAGCATCAGATTGGAAAAGTCGCACGAGAGTGAATCGCCTTGTCTAAAACCTCGTTTGGTCTCAAACGGCGCGGAGAGGTCCTTCCCAATTTGGACGGAGCTGAAGGTTGTGCTCAACGTCACTCTACATAGCCGTATTAGTTTTGCGGGGATCCCAAATTTGGACATGGCGTCGTAAAGGCAGCTCCTCTTCCTGCTATCAAAATCAGCTTTAAAGTCAACAAAAAGATGGTGTGAAAACGTGCTGTGAAAATCTGGTTAATGGTGGACTTACCAGGTCTGAAGCCTAACTGATAAGGTCCAATCAGCTGGTTCGTGAACGGCTTCAGTCTTTCACACAGTATCGTCGACAGGACCTTGTATGCAATATTCAGAAGACTTATTCCGCGATAATTGGCGCAAACGGCGGGATCTCCCTTCTTGTGGATTGGGCAACGTACACTGATATTCCATTCTTCGGGCGCATACATGCCAGGCCAAATTCTGCTTAAAAGCTGGTACATACGCCCCACCAACTCTTCGCCACCGGCTTTGAACAGCTCAGCCGGTATACCGTCGGCTCCGGGGGCTTTGTTGTTCTTAACCCGCTTTATTGCTATTCTCACCTCGTCTTGATCGAGTTGAGGGTCGTGAGCTTCATCCCTATACATTGGTTCGGGTTCTCCTTCATCAAATGCGCCATCTGTTTCGCCATTTAAAAGCAATGACCGTCATGTTGACGCAAGAGAGAAAATTCGGAGAAATCCAAACTCTTTTACATTGTAAACCGGAATAAAACTAAAATTCTTTACTTCAACGAGCCATGTTTGCATGGTATGTGGCGAAATGCGAAAATTAGGTTTGAAGAATGTTAGACAAGCCGCTTGTGTGTTGTATTTCGCTCCATGTAAAACTTCGAAAAGCTTTTTGTTCAAAAATGTCCAGAGCAATTTAACAACTCTGTTGTGTAAAACATGGTTGCATATGTTATCTGCAAATATATCGAGAGAAAATTCCTAAAAATAAAAATCCTCAAAAAATACTCAAGCGCACCCGAAATTCCACACGTTTTGAGAAATAACTCACGAAGTGGCAACACTGCAACTATGCTTGTGGGTGTAGCAGTATACAAATTCCCCTAAGAGTTTTTGGGGAAAGATGCTGAAGTGACAGTCCTTGGCCAGGTATAAATCTATGGTTACACGTCTTTGTTCGCCGTCAACTAGGGTTCTACGTTTTTTAAGCGCATTTTTTCGTTTTTTTTTTTTTTGGCGCATCCTGTTTAGCCGTCTACCGAACGGTATAGAATAATCCAGTTTAGGCAATCATGAAAAATCAGTTCGATCGGATGGCCACTATCTTTTAAAAAATATATATACCCCTGCAAGGCTTAAAAACGTTTCCGATATTACTACTTAGGCTACCTTTATGACCAAGTGTATTCAGATCGCGCGGTGCGATCAAAATCCCAACCAGTGCACCATAAACAACGCCGTATGAATTTGTATAATTGTTCGCTATTGGCGATTTTAATCGCATCAAGAGACGCGAATCCGCTAGCCTTATAATATATTATTCATTACTTTCAGCGATAGATTAAAAGAAATGGCATTTCGTGCACCGCCCGGTCTTAAACTACGTTAACGACAACCTAATCAAATTCATAACTGTGATACATCAATTTAAGTAATAATAAAATTAAATTTTTTATTTCTTCCGCAACCGAGTTCTCGATCTCTGTGATTTCGACCCTTATATGGGTGGTACCAGGCCACAGTGACATTGCTGGATTATAATGAGACGATCACCTTGGCTCATACTTTGTAACCCTGAAGGTTGATGTACTCGTACCCTGGCTATAATACTGCAATAAAACACAACATTAGGGGTCGTTTTCAAAGCAACGAGTTAACATGTGTTTGGCAGTTCTCTTTCAAGTTTGGTATGGAAATCGGCAATGGTTATGAAAACAGACCTAAATTGCAGTTTTTTTTTGGAAAGACCAAATTCATTCTTTGTTTGTGTTAGTTGCTTCTTCAGGCTAAGAAAGAAAATTAGGTATTTTGTTTGTACGGGCTAGGAATACATACTTAAATGGGAATAAATTTGTCTTGCTTTAATTAAACTATTTAACCCTTAATTGTCCTCTTTTATGTAACTATCTCAGCATGCAAGATGTATACTTATGTATACTGTGTACTTAAGCGGGTTATACTATAAACGAAACCACAAATTCTGCGATACAAAATTTTATGAGCAATTTTGAGGAAAACTTAAGATGTGACGTCCCACAGACCTATTAGGGGAGCTAATACACGAATGAATTAAGATGCATTTTTGCAATCGACTTTTTTTTGTTTTAAATACCCATACACCTATGTATGTAAATATATTGTCATGAAAAACAATTGACAACATCTTCAATTTAACGTAAATTCTTATATTTTATTTAATTAATTAGATTTTCTAATTATTTTTAAAGCTTTTGGTTTCATTTATAAATACGTATAAGTATGTGTGTAAGGATCTTATAATCGAATGGTGTAAAATTTGGTCTAATACGGAGGTATGAAGGTATTAATGCCTCTGACGTCTTCAATACAAAATCATCTTATGGAGGACATGGTGGCATCCAAGAAGGTCTAACGCAGTCAGGACCGCCAGCGCCCCCAGGACCTCCAGGACCATTGCCCCATCCCCCACCGCCTCCGCCGCCGCCACCTCCACCACCTCCACGCTCACAATTGCAGCCGCGGCCACCACCACCGCCGCCGCCACCGCCACCACCACCTGGCACTGGCACACCTGAAATAAGCAGAGGAAGAGAGAAAGTAAATTTCGATAATTCGGATTGAAATTTTCTTAACCCTTTTACCTTTAACTAGCGCCAAAACGGCGAAAAAAACTGCCAACAATATGTGAAATTTCATTTTTCACTTGTTAATATTGCGATACCCTGGCTGAAGTGATACGATGTTTACTGTGGCCCAAGCATTTTATATACGATCAGTGACGAGCATCAGAATTTGTTATAGTACTGCTGCTTATTTTCCCAAGCAGAGGGGGTTTTCGTAGGGTTATGCAATTGAGTTAACGCTCCAATACGGCGCACTGTGAGGTGGCGCAAAACGGGGCAATGTGCTACAATAATGCAATTCAAGCACAAGTGGGAGGGCCTTAACGGTGCTGCACAAACAGCAGATGAGTAAGGGAAGAGGAAAACTGCGAGATGATAAGACTCGAATGAATGTCGTCTCAGTGCTTCGCCGGGTTTTTGTCAGTGAAAAGCCCTAAACAACTACCTTCATATGTATAGCGAATGAACTGACAATGAAATACACGCTTGTCAGCATTTCGAACAACATTTATGCATAAATAAATATAGTAAATGCATATGTATATGTATTTATATATGAGTATATATGTATATAAATATATATATATATATATATATATATATATATATATATATACGTATGCATTTACCTTCGCCAACTAATGTGCCCTATCCCCTCTTGATAAGAATTCATTTTTGCATTATTTTTCTAAAAATAAACTATGTATGTAATCTCATTTTGTTAGTGTACATTCAAAGTAGGCAATTATGCAATGCGCATTAAAATATTCAAGGACTCATTAATAAAAAGTGAATTAGGTTATCAATCTTTGATTTGTAAAATTAATACATAATTTTTACGTCAGGAACATTATCTATAAGAGGCGCTCCAAGCTATTTCAATGAAAATTTTTATTTTTTTAGATTCTGATATAAACTGAGTATAATGTAGAAATACCTCTAAGATATGGTAAAACGCGAGGATTGTAAACAAAAAATAAAATTCGCAAGAGTTATGCAACAACCAAATATAAATAATAATACAACCAATATTTATCGAGTTATGATGTGATAAACAATGGCTTACGGCGAGACACCTAACATTTTGGTTGTTGTATAACTTTTCAAAAAAAAAATTGTTGTTGTTTTTTTTTCGTTTACAAACACTTTAAGACCTCCACTGCAACATATCCGAAAATCGAGCAAAAGTAGTTTTTCACCAATTGAAATAGTGTGGAATGCCTTATGAATATTTTTAAAAAGCGAAAAGTGTTTCCACAGTACAGTGGAGTAGGACCGCATTTAGCATGAGCTTAAACTTCTGTAAGAACGTCTTTTATGTATGTTCATTCATAAAATGCGTATCCGAATGACTTAGCACTTATCTATTGTCAGTTGAAAGTACTTAGGCACTTTGTATAAACTTATGCGCTAAAGATAACTGAAATTGGTTGTAAAATTGCCTGAATATTGCGGAGATTCAACGGCCTTAATTCGGCATGATCAAGATCCTCTGGAAGTCAAACAGGCCTAAATATGACTTTAAAATCATTATAATTTGACACCTATTCATTTCTATTATTAAAGCTCTTGAATAGCAATGCAACTTATTTGTTGTTCGAGTTATAAAATATCGTGACAAGTATGCACAGCTGCAAGAGAATCATAAAAAATGCAATAAAGAATATTTTTTTAAATTGAGGTTTTTACAATATTTTGGGGTTTTCAAACAGTGGGATAACGCCCCAAAATCTGTAAGATTATTTGATAGATTAGAACACTGAAAAAATTTTTTGCTCAAGTCCGGTAGTTTATGTATTTTCCAAAGAACACTATGGCAATACTTTTGCTTAAAAGGTTATTAAATTAGGTTTCAAACCAACTTTGATTAATGATCGTAAAGATATGTTGCTTCTATCAAAAGCGACACCATTAATTCGCATAGAGAGTCCCAGGTGCACTACGGTAGTTTTGAGTAAATCCCTACTTTAACCCAAAAAAATAAAAAATGAATAAATACATTAGTTAATAAATTTTTTTACTAAAATTGCAAGTATCTTCGAAAGTGCTATATTTGGTATATTGACCTTTTTTGTAGAGAACCGAAGTAAGCTAAGAAACAATTTTTTTAGCGCTTGAACTTTGAAGAATTTGGACGAGCCTAAGATATTGACCAAAAATTGTCATATTTCACACAGATTGTTTTTAGAGCATAATGAATATATTTTTGATATTACCAATCAAAATTCTAAAAAAAACGGATTTTTGGCCCACGCCAATCATCATCTCAAGCCCGTAATGACGGCTGCAAGCTTATAATATACATATTATGCGCGTGTACTATAGGAGGATTCTACGTCTAATTCTGAGCAAATTTTACGAAGAAACCATGGGTATAAAATCACTTTGGAGTTTGCCAAATTGCGAAAACCGAAGAAAATGTGAACATTTTCACTGTTGCGCCGTCTGGTGGAAGTTTTAAGAAATATATAAGTGCTGAAATGGACTCCTCATACCAAAAAACCCCATGCTATACTTTATACAAAATTTCATCACTTCTTTGCGACACTACACCAAATGCTAAGAAACCTATTTACACAATTTGGCAAATAGTTTCCTCGGAAATTTTTCTAGAATTACACATAGAATCGTTCTGTGCTAAGTACACGCATAGTCGGAAAAATATCTCATACAAATTGAACCGCCCAAATACGTATGCTTATACAAGACTCATCGTTTGATATTTCTCCCTTTTTTCCCATTTCTACCAATCCAAACGTGCCTTTTATTATTATTAAAACCTAACCTAAATTACATCAACTCTGAAACCAGCCATGCAAATGGCTTACTTATCCACCTCGATAAGGAGTATCTTATAACTACGGCGACCAGATTTCTGTGGACCAAAATCGGTAAGGCATCGAATCTGAACATACAATTTTGTTTTTAGAATGAAAAGACACAGTTTTATTTAAGACGAAACAAAGAGAAAGCTACTTTAATAGTGATCTCAAAAATATATACACACAACATACCTAAATATTTTAGCAAGTTTTTGCTACTTTTCTATGTTTAAAAAATGTTTATGACCTTTAATGAAAACATAGCTGCCTAATATTTAAAAACACCTTTAAATCAAGATTTCAACCTTTGTAGAACATTTACAAAAATTCGACGAATTTTGACAAATGTTTATCAAAATTTTAAACTTTTTAATCAACTTACTTAAACTATTTAATAATGTTTAGATTTTTTTTTGAACATTTAATTTTGTAGTCCATCAAATTTTAGTATAACAAAGTGCAAGTTCTAAGTAGGTTGGATTACCGTTGAATTTTGGCAATTCTTTGTTCGCGCATTTTCTTCCATACAAAGTATGTTCGATCATTTTTTTGTAAAATGGCCAACACTTTCCCCAAAAAATTTTATCAAATTTGCACTTCGTTTTATTAGAATTGAATGGTCTACAAAATCGCATGCTCAGAAAGTTTCTAAAAAATATATTTAAAAAGTCCAAAATTTGTATAAAGCTTTAAATGGTTTTTGTTATATATCGAGCTATAATTTCATGAAAACATAATAAACATTAAATAATCAAAAGGCGAATGGCCATGGAATGCTAAAATGCCGCTTCCCTATTTACATTTTCGCCATTGTATCAACAGCTTATTATACCTTTCATGAGTATGAAATGGTATTATAACTTTGGTCAGATGTTTGTAAGTACCAGAGTAAGAAGAGATAGACCCAATAAAATGTATACTTAAATGATCAGAACGTCGAGCTGAGTTGATTTCGCCATGGCCGTCTGCCTGTCTATCCGTCTGTTCGTCTGTTTGTATGCAATCTAGATAGGTGGGTGTATTTTTAAAATGTATTAAGGATGATAAGGAACCGGAAGAATCGGACCACTATAACATATAGGAACATGAAATTTTGCAATACTTCCACCCATTATCAACAGAAAACCTACAGTGAAAATTACAAAGATCGGGTTACTATAACCTATAGCTCCCATAACACTGATTGTTCATATATGAGATTTTTCGTTATAACTTCTCCATTTACGCAGCTAGCAACATGAAATTTTGCGCTGTTGACACTCATTATCAAAAGAATACTTTCAGTGAAAATGGCGATGATCGGGTCGCTATAACCTATAGCCTCCATACAACTGATTGTTCAAATATGAGATTTTTTGCCATAACTTCTCCATTTATGCAGCTAGAAACATGAAATTTCGCACTACTTTCACTCATTATCAACAGAAAATTTAGAGTAAAATGAACAAAGATGGGGTGACTATATCCTATTTATTGCTTCCATACAACTGCTTGTTCCGATATGGGCCTTTACTGTAAAACTTCTTTATTTGAACAGTTAAAACCAATAAATTTCTTAAGCTATTTTATAAACAACTAGCAAATGCCCGCTTGCTTCGCGGCGCCTAATAAGATCTTTTGCGTTGGCCAATTCAAAAATAGCGTTTAAAAGCAAAATCAGTCTGTAAAGTAAACATTTTTAGTTTAGATTGAAATGACTAAAAAACGGAATAGTATGCTGTTATTCCATATGGAATACTAATCCCTTTCGATGTAATGCGTTTTACCTATGGTCTTATTACCACCTGTGAGATCTCTGTCAAGCCTGCGTAATATTCTTCTATGATCCTGCAACTTCAGCATTGGTCCGGTGTACCATGTAAGCCAATAAAAGTCCTTATACAGAAACTCAAGAGCACAGATGAGCGCGTTTTTCTTTAAGATAGATAGAAACATATTATTGTAAAATATGGCATGCAATTTGTGCACTTTTTTTCATAAAAATCATGGAACTAATTACAAAATTACTGAACGTTCGTAAGCAAGGAGCTCATTTTATATATATTTTTTTTTAATTGACACGGCATAAAAAATACAGTTTGCTCATATTAAATAAATAATATAAAAAAAAAACTTTTTAATATACAACGCTTTTATAAATGGACTAAAAAGTGGAAAATAATAATTCTCAATCCCATAGAATTTGCTTTGCTAACTTTTGATTTTGAAATTTTAGCAAAAGTTATTATAAACAATTTATGAGATTGAAAGTGAAAAGCGTGGGGCGCATGCAATACAAAGCATTAGATTCAATTTACAATAGGCAAACTACATAACAATGACCTAAAATTTCTACAGAGACATTTTAAAAGCGTTCTATATTAAAATGTTGTTTTATATTATTTTTTGTTTTGTGAATGATTTCTATGTTAAAATGCCTGATCTTTGGATTGAGATGACAGAAACAATATTAAAAATTGCCATCATTGAAAAAAATTACAAATAACTTTTAATTTCGAATTTTCACCGTGAAAATTGTAAAATTTTGGTAAACGCATAGCAC